ACTGGGACACCCGAAGACGACTACTCTGCCTCTACTTGCTATACAACTTTCCTATTGCACCTGCAACCCCTACCTCCATGGGACCCCCCCTGAGGATAGTAATGTGGAACATTAAGGGATTGAGATCGCCGAACAAAAGGAGACAAATTCTACGACATCTCAAGAAATTGAAAGTGGATATTGCATTCCTCCAGGAAACGCACCTCAAGGCGGAAGACATCTCGCGTATGCATCAATCTTGGGTGGGTACGGCCCTGGGATCCCCTGCAGCTGGCCGGTCCATGGGAGTGATCACCCTCATTCACAAATCCTTGCCTCACAATGTTTTACATCACCAATCTGATCAGATCGCTGGGAGATGGTCCCGTCTGTCCCTCCAGATTGGCACCCACTCGATGGACCTATGGAACATTTACGCCCTGAACTCGGACAACCGTCCCTTTTTAGACACCCTTCGATCCAAGCTAGCCGCATGCTCACCGGATGCAATGCTACTGATCGGTGGAGATTTCAATGCCACCCCATCCTCATTGGAGGACCAATCCTGGGAATACCCTCCTAAACAATGTAATCCCCAAGATGCACACTTGACCACCTGGATTGCGGCCTCGGGACTCACGGACCTTTGGAGACATTTACACCCCATGGACAGGGACTTTACTCACTTTTCTCACGCTCATAACTCCCTATCCCGCATTGACTTATTTTTTTCCCATACGTCTATGCTCCCCAGATTGGACTCGGTACAAATTGAAGACCTGGTTATCTCTGACCATGCACTGGTCCTGGTAACTATAAAAAATGTTGGTACGCCTGGTCATCCCACCACCTGGAGATTTCCTAATTACCTGTCAAGAGATGACACTTTTAAAACGGAGCGCACTAGGTGGTGGAGTGAATAAGCGTCTGATAACTCATGCACATGTATCCAATAGTGTTTTATTTTGGGAAACTGCTAAAGCGGTATTGAGGTGTCGAATTTTGGCCTATGCATCTTCCAAAAAACGTGTGACCAGGACCAGCTATGCAGAAGCAAGTACGGCAGCCAGAAAAGCCTACCTGGCTTACAAATTGTCCCCCACTCCTGTTAACCAGTCGTCTTGGCTGGCAACCAAACAATCCTGTGATCATTGGCTACACCAACACGACCTCATCCTTAGATCCCCAAAATATCTGGACTTATTTAATTTTGGCAACAAGGCTGGACAACTCCTGGCCAACCTGGCTCGGGGACGGTGCCCTCCAGCGCATATTCCGCAATTGCACGATGAACATGGGATTGCCCATACCGACCCAGCCTATATATGCAAGATCTTTAGTAGATTTTATGCCAAACTTTATACACAAGAGGAGTCCGACATGTCGGCGGGCTCCTCCTTCCTAGAATCCCTAACCCTCCAGTCGTTGTCCCCTGATCCAGACACCTTTTACTGATGCCTATATTCGCCTCCTTCCCAAAAAAGGCAAAGATCCGCTTCAAGCGGGCTCCTTCCGACCCATATCTCTTCTTAATTTGGATGCCAAAATGCTTTCCAAAATCCTGGCTAATAGGCTGGCGGCCGTATTGCCAAAGCTTGTCTCTCCTGATCAAGTAGGCTTTGTAATGGGCAGGTTTGCGGTAACTAATGTTAGGAAAATTATTCTGGCCTTGGAAGGTCATCGCCTCTCTAAGCCTTCTCCGCGTCCGTTGGCATTATTAACGCTGGATGCAGAGAAGGCTTTTGATAACGTCAACTGGCAATGGCTTTCCATGGTGATGCAACGCATGGGTTTTGCGGGGGTTTTTTTGAACTTCATCTCTACGATGTATTCATCCCCAAGGGCTCGCATCCTTACACCAGCCGCCATCTCCCAACCATTCTTTCTGCATAAAGGCACGAGACAGGGATGCCCTTTGTCACCCTTACTGTTCAACTTAGCATTAGAGCCCCTCTCCAGGTCACTAGCCTCCTCCTCGATATATAATGGGTTTCAGACAGGCCCCCATGATCTAAAACTGGCCCTATTTACAGATGACATAGTTCTCCTACTCTCAGACCCCTCCAGCCAAGTGCCCAGAGTGCTAGCCCATATTGACCATTTTGGCTCCTTCTCGGGTCTCAAGATAAACTTCCACAAAAGCGAACTCCTCTTAACGCCCCCTCACTCCCCCTTAGACAAATCCAGCTGGCCTCCACATTTTTCTATCAAAATCCAACAACGTACCACCTAAACTTCCACCCGCTAATCCACAAGATCGCCCAGGAGCTTCATTCTTGGGGCGACCTCCCCCCTCTCGATACTAGGCAGGTGTCATTTGATTAGGATGATTAGTTTTGCACGCCTATTATACCCTATGCAAACCATCCCTGTCTTGCTTAAACATAAAGATATTCACACTCTGCATACGGCCTTCTCCAAATTCATATGGGGGGGGGGGAAACGCCCTTGCATAGCTCTGCGGAGACTCCAACTCCCCTCGAAGTCACTGGGAGCTAATATCCCAGATGTAAGGCTCTATAATCTAGCAAGCTTGTTCAGACATTTTAGAGATTGGATTAACGACGCCTCATTGTTCACTAACTCAGACCTGGAGAAAAGTTTAGTGTACCCTTGGTCCCTGTCAGGTGTTCTACATACGCCTATCAGAGCCCTACCTCCGGCCATAAAAAATAATGTTCTTCTGAGAGATACTATTGTCACATGGAGAGAGGTTCGGAAGCTATTTGAGCTCCCAGGGGTATGTTCCCCCTTATGCCCATTACATCTTCACCGGCCTTTCCCCAAGGAAGAGAATCCCCTGTGTTTGCTGAGTGGCACACCAAAGGTATATCCCACATCCAGGACCTACTAGATCCCCAGGGTCGCTGCAAGAAATTTTGGGAACTGCAAAATGAATTTCACATCGTTCCTAACCACTTCCTGCAATATGCTCAGATCTCACGCTTTATCAACACAAATCTCCCTTTCCCCAGAAATGCACTACCCTTCCTCTTCAGGAGATCCTTTCCTCACCCTCAAATAAAATGCCACTCTCCCACATTGTCCGCTCCATGCGCACCTACCTACCCTCTATGCATACTCGGTCTTGCTCTCCGCAGGTGACAAAATGGGCGGCGCTCCTACAGATCTCACAGGAGGAGGCAGACCAGACGCTACTCCGGGGATGGCTAAACCTCAGGAAGGCCATTGTTAGCGAATCCTGGAGGGAAACCCAATTTAAACTAATACACAGGGCATACTACGCCTTCAATATTCGCTACAAAAATTCTCCCCCGCACTGGTTGACGGCTTGCCCCAAATGCCAGTCTGATTTGCCGGATTTAAATCACCTAATATGGCTTTGTCCCCTCATCCAATCTTTTTGGACCATGGTGCTTCAATATATTAAATCTATATCTGGAACCCACAGGCAACTATGCCCGACACTATGCTTATTTCATGCAGCCTCCCCGACAGACGCAGCAGTTCCTCGTGACCCATCTAGATGGGAGCACTTATGTATACTTGCGGCAAAGAAGGTGATACTGACTAACTGGCTACTCCCATCCCCCCCACATTAAAGTCACTAAAGGACCTCCTCCACAAACTACTGTCCCTTGACCTATTGGATGCGCAGATGAACCAACCCCTCACTGCTGGCGTCTTTGCGACTTTTGTCCACCTTCTTAGTGACTGAACTTCCTACAACCCGACTGAAAGAGATTATGACAACGTTTCAATTCACTAAGTGGTATCTCACCTCACAGCTTGATGGGTCGCTTGGTGCATTAGATGTCTTATAACCTGCCAACACCTGACGCCTCTTGATCGGTTCCTTTATGTCCAGCGTTATACTTGAAAGCCGAGGACCAAACCTGGGTCCATACCCATGGTTCTTGCATGCTAAAAATTGTTATTATTATTTATATGTAAGTTTCTTTTTTTTTCTCTTTCCCAGATATGTTCACTATATATTTGTATTATGTCCATTCTAGGCCCTATTCCATTTCACCTGTGCCCCTACCCCCTGAGGGTTATATGGATTGATTGTGGCGTAGCCTTACGATTGAATGTTCATTCATGTTGGTCAACACTCAGTTACTACGATGTTTCATCTCTTATTGCATGATATGTATGTCTGTAGAAAAACTTTTCAACAAAAAAAAAAAGAAAAGCAAAACTCCTTTTAAATATTAGTTAACTGTAAATTATATCGAACATCAAAAGTTTTTATTTTAGTTTTATATAGCAATGTGAGGAGTTAGAACTTCTACCATTGCTGCCTGTGTCTCCACTAGGAAATTTTCCCCTCTTGTCTATTGTCACTGATCCTGAAAGTGAGAAAAATCCAACATTTTGAGTTGTCACCACAATAGAAATAGAGGGAAGTCCTATTGGGGATACTTGTTCTTGTAACACCTGTGTAAGAGGGAATTTAAAGTCACACTAAACTCAGTAGTTAAACCTTAAAAATAAATTCAAATACCTTAACTATTAACAAAAATGTAGCTTATTTGTGTATCCCTCAGCTGTAGACCCTTAAATCATCTCTGAATTGGTGCTGAGACTTTTCTTTCTTCTGTAGGGTGGCAACTTTTGTTCCCTATGGTCCCTGTGTGTGTTGTAAATTATCCACCACTTCAAGCTCACTCCTATGATGGACTGCAATCTCAATATAAACTAGTAAACTAAAAGTGAGATTTTAGTCCATCAAGGGAGTGAGCTTGGAGTGGCGGCTACTTTATAAAACACACATGGACCATGGGGAACAAAAATAATCACCCCCAGAAGGACGGACAGTGTTGGGACGAATTCAGGGATAAGTTAAGGATCTACAGCTGAGTGATACACAAATAAGATTTTTGTTAATAGTTAGGGTACTTGAATGTTTTTTTAAGATTAAGAGTTCAGTGCCAATTTAACTCACTTAAACCCCACAGTTTTGACTTTATATATACTTTGCTCAAATCCTCATTGATGGCACATACCCATGGCTACATTATTATATGTAAAGAACTGTATCAAAATGATTCACTTACTTGGGTCTGATAACACTGAATCAGTTTTCGGCAGGAACTGGTCACATCGCACACCTTGGTAGCCCTCCTTGCACCTGCAATAAAACAAAACGAGTGATAACAGGTTACTTTCCCTCTGTATGTGAACTAAAACTTGCCATATTTGGTTTAAATTTCAGATGATTCCAGAAATTCAGGCCGTGGGTGGCCTTGTCGGGATCATGCAGCTTGTCAAACTTCAACTTGAAAAATCAAAAGAACAGGCTGGAAAAATTGTCAGCCAAAGAGTGACTGCATCCAGTCCTACAAGTGCAGCTGAATACAATAGCCAGCATCCACACTGTTTAGCGTGGATGGGAATCAAGCAATTTCTCTCGTTCAGCCCCATGTAGAAATCTGCATGTGCACTGCTAGGCTAACATAAAATTAGTAGTTTCTGTTGAGTTTTTACTTTAGTCAGTACACATACTGTATTACAAGACAAAAAGAAAGAGAAGGAGAAGGGCGCCCATCCTAGTGCAGATGGTTCTTTATTGTTTAAAAATAGCAAAATAGAGTGCAAAGGTACTCACAATGGTAGATCGATTAGAAGCATAAATGGGTAGTTCAAGGATACATCAGTTTAAAATGGAACCCATGAAGAATTCTCTGGGTTCCTAGAGTATTGTAAAAAGAACCCTTTCAAATTAGATTTCACTCATGTTGTCGATGACAAAGGCCTAGTCTTCCTGGATCTTGAGTTAGGGATTGATCAAACAGGTACAATTATATCTAAAACCCATTTTAAACCAACAGCAGGCAACTCTTATTTACATGCTAAAAGTAATCATCATCCCAGATGGATTAACAGTGTACCAGATGGTCAGTTTTGGAAACTGATTATGAAGCTTTAGGAGAAGGTCTGACCAAAAAATTCCTGGATAAGGGTTATGCTAAAATGATTGAGAAGGTCTTCAAAAAACATGCGGCACCCATTCCAAAGAATAAGAATATTAAAAATAGGGATAGAGGTACTTACAATATCAGCTTTTGCACACAGTTTAATGATGGGGCCTCCACATCGCCAAAATCCTGAGGAATCATTGGAGAATTTTGGGAGAAGATGCCATTCTCAAGAGTTCTCTTCCAAAATATTCCAATGTTATATATAGAAAAAACCAAAGTCCTTTGCAGTGTGTTGGCTCCCAGTAGAGTTAAGTCCACGGGAATGTCCAATGCAGGCAAGGGGCTATTTGGCCAGGTAGGATTTATAGATGTAATGTTGCCAACTGTGGAGCATGCCCATTCCTCTAGCACCGGAAAAAAAGAAGTGTCAAATTCAAATGGTAAGAGTTTCCCCATTAAAAACTTCATCAGCTGTGCATCACACTATGTGATATATGGTATCCTCTGCCACTGTGGAAAATTATACATTCGGCGCACCATTAGAACATTGAGGGTTAGATTTGGGGAACACAAAAGGAAAATTCTCAAAAAAGTGGATGACCATTCCGTACCCAGGCATTTTCTGGAAGCACACAAATCCAATCCTACAGGATTGAAAGTATTTGGAATTGAAGAAATTCCAGAAAATCTTGATGAAGGGATAAGGTTCAAAAGACTTTGTCACAAAGAAGCCTTCTGGATCTACTCTTTGAACAGTTTATATATCCCAACGGTTTAAATGAAGGTCTCGAGTTGGCCACATCCCTTTAATTGTCCCGTTGAGAGATTATTGGTTTTCCAATCCAGCATAAGACTTCAACTATTCCACTGTTAGCCTTCAGTAATTAACTTTGACTGCTTGGCTTGGTCAAACTTTTCCCACACACCAAGCATTTCTCACATTCTAACCCCTTGGATGATCTATCATGCAAGATATTATACTGGTGCCCTCAACCACTGTTTAGTATGATTCTTGGGTTCCTTCTTTTGGGTCTAGCCCCAGTTGTGTCTGGCCATTTCCACACACATGTATATCTATATATATTTTTTTTGTTTATATTTTTATATATTTATTAATATTATTTTTTATCATAATCATTATGCCCAGGGAAACTATAAACTCACCCATCATATTGACATCATTATTAATAATACTTTCTTTGGCTCCCACTTATATCTTATCCTGTTTCATTTTTATGCTCTTGCAATTGAATGTGGATGCAATTTTTAAGCAAATTGCTTTTCCTTTCCTTTAATGAATTAATTCTAGCAGTAGTTAATTATCCAACACTTTCCTACCATCTAATGATATCAGCTCCTCATGTCAACGGTCATGACCATTACCTCTATGGATGTGTTTTTATTCATGGTTTTATTCATAGTTTTTATTGATTACCATACATGCATATGTAATATGGTATATGTTTGTGGTTGACTTATAAAATTGGTAATTTCTAATGTTGGTATTAATCTACATATCCATTTTTCACTTACGTTTTAATAAGCGTTGTGGCTTTTTGTTCTTTTACCTGTTTTTAATCATGTATTATATTTCTAGTGTTGTATATTATATTTAATCATGATTACAGGAGCTCACCCTCATATCAAGAATTTTTCACGAGTGAGAGCCAGCCTTGTCCCCTCCATTGGACTTAATAGCCCGTTGTATATAGATCTGTTCCCCTTACGTGACCCTCGTACGCCCGTATTATCGGGCTAGATGTAATGACTATTGGTTGTCAGTTCCGATGAGTCACCGGGGGCACGTCATCACACAGGCTCCTGGATTGGCCGGAGAGCCACACGCCTATCAGAGGCGGGGCTTGGGAAGCTCGCCGACCCTCAGTCAGATTAAAAATAGATGTCGAACTGGGAGGTGGCATCCAGCTGAGCTCTATTCACTCAAACCATTTTTATTGGTGTATTCCCCTATTTAATGGGATGATGATGAGGTCGAGGTCATGTTCTGAAGAAGGGGGTGTGACCCCAGAAACGCGTTAACGTTGCCACTCCATATTGGCACACAGGCTGATTGAAGCTTTTAAACTGATGTATCCTTGAACTACCCATTTATGCTTCTAATCGATCTACCATTGTGAGTACCTTTGCACTCTATTTTGCTATTTTTAAACAATAAAGAACCATCTGCACTAGGGTGGGCGCCCTTCTCTTTCCTTTTGTCTTCCAGTTATACAGTTCCCTTGGCTGAAGTGGGGCAGCACCCCTAGCAATCCCGGATATGCATTCCTCAGTTTTATGATCCGTTTTTGGTGCTTTTGTTTTGTGTACATACTGTATTACATCTATCTGTCTTGCCTGTTAACACAGAAATGAAGGAGGAGCTTTTTCACATATCACATATTTCACACATAATTGCACACAGAATTTTCCGGTTCTTTGCTTGCATGATCAATTTAATTCTTACTTTTAGAAAATGGTAAACTGTTTTCTATATATTTTTAATTATTTTTATGAACTCTTTATTTCACAAACAAACATTTATAAAAGGATACAACAAAAACTAATAAACGCAATCTATTACAAATTTTATTAGCCATAATGACTGTTATTTAGCAATGACAGCCAATGAGAGCTGAAAATAACAGCCATATGGCTGCAAATAATGATCATTGTGAAAGATAATACATGCTATATGAGATGAGACTAGTCAGACTAGTAGTCCTGTGGTAATTTGCCATTGGCAGGATTGTTGTATAGAATATTTACCTGCTTTTACAGCTGAAATGTTGCAGAATTGCTCACCAGCAAGGATGAAATGGCCGGACAATGCCTCACTGGTATGGCTAGCAAGGTAGCTACATAATAAAAGCAGGTGAGTGGTATGCTTTGCTCTCCTTGTAATCTTGTCACTGGGGAGTTTATGCCAGGACAGGATCGCTATTCTGACATAGAACTATGGGGTAAGTGTTTTTCCCCATAGTTCTCTTAAGGGTCACGAGAGGATATAAACTAGAGTCCTCTCATGACCCAAAGCTCAGTATAAATTTCCAAACACCTGTAGCACACCTTACTGGACTTCCCATAGGAAAAAGTGGGTGCTCGCAGTGACTGCCTGTAACATTACTGTCGAGATCCACCCAGCTGCATGAGTGACAGCTGGATCTGCCTATCTAGAGGCAGAGCCAGCTGTACACGCCCTCTCCCCCGTCCGTTCCGCCAGTCAGCGCTGGAGGATCAGAGCGGGGGGATCCCTGCAGGGAGCCTAGACTTACAGTCACAGCTCTCTGCAGGGAGATGATCGAGAATTTCACTCTAGACATGTGTGATTCGTTTCGTTACGAATTAAAATTCGTACGAATTTTCCTGAAATTCGTAGATTCGTAAGCATACGAAATACGAATGGCAGTTTCCGAATTTATGTCCAAAATACGAAATTCCATTAACGAATTTCGGATCCGAATTTATTTGAAACAGGAACTAATATTACCCCTGTAAAATGAGGTTGAACATGACAAGATTTTTTTTTTTATCCGAAATACGGATTCGCTGCTGCTGAGGGTTGCATTACAATACAATACACACACAGGCAGGGAATACGAAATTCCGTTGACGTATTTTCGTTCAGTTACGAACATTCATTATATTGAAGTTAAAAAGCAAAGTACATTTATATTGGAGTTGATGCTAATGGTAGTTTTTTTTAATACGAAATACGAAATTTGGATACGGAATCCGTTAACGGAATTCGTATTTAGTTTTGGTTGACCAATCAGAGGTTCTCTTCTGCTGCTGAGAGTTGCATTACAAAACAGGCAGGAAATACGAAATTCCGTTGACGTATTTTCGTTCCATTACGAACATTCGTTATATTGAAGTTAAAAAGCAAAGTACATTTATATTGGAGTTACTTGATGGTAGTTTTTTTAATACGAAATTCGGATACGGAATCCGTATTTCGTTTTGGTTGACCAATCAGAGGTTCTCTAATCTCTTCTGCTGCTGAGAGTTGCATTACAATATACAGGCAGGAAATACGAAATTCCGTTGACGTATTTTCGGTCCGTTACGAACATTCGTTATATTGAAGGTAAAAAGCAAAGTACATTTATATTGGAGTTGATGGTAGTTTCTTTTAATACGAAATTCGCATACGGAATCCGTTAACGGAATTCGTATTTCGGATACAAAAAGAACTACCACATAGACTCCA